ATTGCTTGTTTGTTCATTCCGTTGGCCATAGCTTGTACTTGGGCCTTCTGAATCTAAAGATTCAGGGTCCTCCTCTGGCTCTGCTTCATTGTTTGCCTGGGATAATGCCCTTTTAGTAAATTTAAGTATTGAACCCGACAACCGTTGTAGTTCTTGTTCTTGTTCTTTGTTTTTTTATTTTTTCTTCTTTTCCCATCCACTAGGATAGTTTCGTTTCATGTTATCAACAGGTCTCTTGACTCTGAAAATAATTGTTTTATTTTAGACAAATAATCTCTTGACTCTGAAAATAATTTTTCTATTTTAGACAATAAAGTATTTAGAAAATAAAACAAACCTTTATGTTTGAAATTATGGTTATGTTATGGGTTATGGGTTTGAAAACAAACCAAACCTAATGAATAAACAAGATAAAACTGTCAAGTTTTGAATTACATTTTTTGGCTATTTTCTTAGAAAAATTTCAGTATAAGTAACAGTATAACTAATGATGTTTTCACTTCGCTTGTTAGTAGATATCTATTTAAAGTGAAATGTGCGCACATGAAAATGAAAAATGTCTGGTTTTAAAATTCCATTGTTCTATCGTTGTAGGTTTTCAATGGTCTATTGTTCTATTTACGCATCAGAGCTTCGCTTGTCTCCACGAATAAAGTTAGGTAATTCTTAAGGTGTGTTTAATAATGTTTTTCATTGGAATTATTTTTTGTTACTATTCGTGGTTTTACTTTAGAGACAGGTTGTCAGAGATTAGCTGTCTCCACGGGAGTTGTTTATTCTAGAATTTTCTTAAGGGAATTGTTTGATTGCCTATTCTTGCTAATGCTTTAACGAGTATTTTCAGAGCAGCTGTTCAAAGGGGAATTTAGATGTTCTCATTGTATATTATTGTGCCTCTAATTTAGTTAGTTGTGTGTTTTCTGTTTTGACGTATATTATATTTAATATTTTATTTATTATATATATTATATTTACAACTATTATTGTGTTTATTGTATTTATTATATAAATTATATTAATTATATTAATTTATTAAATATATAAATTATATTAATTATATTAATTATATCAATTATATTAATTATATTTGTTATATTAATTATATTTATTATATTTATTAAATTTATTATGATAGTTATATTTATTATATTTATAATATTTATTATATTTATTATAATTATTATATTTGTTTTAATTATTATATTTATTATACTTATTAATGTTCACAAATAAGCTAGATATTAATTGGATTTATGAACCATAAGAATAATATGGGGGATTTTAAAAAAATCGATTTTAATTTTAATGTTTTCGGAATCTGGGGCCCCCAAGATGAATGTTATCATGGTTTCGGGCTTAAATTTGTCCACGCCACCTATGGTAATAGCTCCTTCCATATGGGAAATTCGCTAAGACGAGCAAACAATATCAAAACTAAATGTTTTCGCATTACTGATAAAAATTATTGTTTACCAAAATAGGCTAGGCTTACTCATTTTTAAGGTCAAAATTAGTTGTTAAAAACCAAGTAATTAAATTGACAATACGGATAGTGTTTAAGGACAGGCCCTTTTATGTGGCTTCAACATAAAACGACGTGTGATATAAAATTATAACCTGATAACTAAAATCTTCTCACGCAGCCTTATTAGGCTTATATGCAGGAATAAAATTATAACCTACCATGTAACTTGGTGATGACGAACTGAAGACGTGATTTGCTTTCGAATTATTGAGGTACTGAATGATAGAGTATATTAATCACATTAACGAAACAAAATAAATATCCGTCAGTCTGCCTGAACCATCATAATCCATAGACTCGTAGGTAGGGTGGGCGAATCTATTTATTAGTACTCGCGGGTGTGGGGGAGGAAGCTTTGCGGAAGGCCTCTAAAACAGTCACGGTGGTTGTTATTGGCCAAAATGTCATTTCAATTTCTTACATCTTGGTTTGTTTGCTGTGGATGTTTATTATCTTGGCAAGCAGATGCGATCATGTTTCAGGTTCATTTTTGTTGTAAACAATTATGATTACAGAACAAAAATGTTGACTATTACAGAATCCGGCTGAAGTAAAAAAAATATAAATTGTATTAAAATTTGGGGGCCTACTCCCAGGCGGGGCCTGGGGCAGATCGCCCCCCCCCCCGCCCTACCCTCGGTACGCCACTGGTGAAGGTAAATGATTAGGGTTGTCAGGAAAACGAATCACAAAGTTAACTATCTGAGTAGAAAATTAAGAAACACAGAAGTTTTAGGCTTTAGTGCCAGCAGGGTCAGTGGCGTTAAAGCCGAGTCATTCAGTGTGATGAGCATTAAAGTTACCAATAACAACAATATTGGAAGTAGAGTAAAGAGAGAGGGTATGGTCAATTTGATCAGAATTTATATATAAAAGAGTGCAGTCTTGGGAAAAAGGAGAACAATAAATTACAAAGAGAAAGGTGATAGAGTGAAGAGGCGATAAGCGGGAGCACATAAAAGAATGGTCAAAGGATTCAAAACTGATTTCACAACAAATAGGGGAATTGATGCTATGTATATCCCCAAGTCAAGCACGTGATTAATGGAGTCTCTGCGAATTAAAAGATAGTACCATCAACATCTAGATTAGAAAATGGAATAGCAGAATTTAAATTAGTCTCACTAACAGCAGTCAAGTCTGGTGATTTTTTCAAGAGGTAAGATTCAACTAATTGAAGGGTGCTTTGCAGACCACGAATATTAGTAAAAGATATATTAAAACAGTTTGGTGGTGGGAATGATTTTTTATGTTTATTACTTTGGGTTACTTTTGCCATGTTTTAAGTTTAAAAAGAACTTGACTTACTCTATGCAGTTGTCTCAATCAGGTTAATTAACCCTTAGTCGTAACATAGGGCCCTAAAAGTACCTACGCTTTTAACCTACTAACCCATGATATTTTTTTTAATTTAGTGTCTCCATACTTTTATAATTGACCTATTGCCCTCTTATCTCAGAAACACCATTTGCAGACCTCCTCTTCCTCTCCGAGCGTAGTACGTACGCTTGGAGAGGAAGATCTCCGACGATCCCATAATAGTATAAATTTCTATTAACAGCTACTTTATTTAGTGCAACTTGAAAAAAAAAAGACTTTAAAATCAAATGATTTATTTGCTGCTTTTTTAGATTACAGTTTAATTTTACATAATAGTTTAAAATGTTTATTATTATAGAATAATATAAAAATGAAACCAAAATTTCGCTTAAGAGTAGCATCCAGTTTTGTAATAAAAAAAGCCAAGAAATAAATCTGAAGCAGCTCTAAAGCAGTTTAACCGAGATGAAAGAAATAAACAGATAAGCAAAGCTGTAGAATGGTGCAAAATTAATGAAAAGCGAGGACATGCTGCAATATCAACAGGGCATTATCCATTAATAAAAAGCAAAATCGTGATTGATAAGCGGTTAGATAATCTAGTTCATACAGGAAAGGTAAAAAACCATCTAATGATTCTAACAGCTGAAGAAGAAGATACTATAGTAAATTATTTACGCTGTAAAAATCGTGCTTATCAAGCTATGAACAGAAAAAAACTTACAAACCTCATTTTGGATATGTTAAAAATTCGAGATCATGCTAACAAAAAGATGAAAGGAGGAAGAAAGTTCATTGCTTTGACTGTAAATGGCAGAAAAACTCTTTTGAAAAAAAGGTAAAAATTATCTAATTTGTAAGAAATCCTTCTTGCATTGACACAATTCTTTACTACTGTATTGAATTTTTTTAATATTTTTTCTATCTATCCTAAGTAAGTCGTTTTTGAGATGATGGGACGCTAAACATGTCAATGTTTCTTTAAAAAGACAAGGAATCATCACAATAAATAGAGCAATGAACTGCACTCGTGAAATGACCATCTCTCTTTTAGGTAAAACAACTTTGAAATTCACAAAAATAAATAGCATATGTTATAAAAATTATAGCATATGTATCTAGCACTTAAAGCCAGAATTAACAAACTCATCCAGATAACTAAGAAATGCTAATATAGAGTTAAAACTCTGAAATCTGTTACAGTTTTATTTTTAAAAAGTAATTTTAAAGACTATTCACTTTCAGATGATCTTGCTAAAGAATTGGTGGAAAATGGCATCATGATTAAAGAAAATCAAGAAGCACCTGGATATTGGACCGGGCAAATTGACTTGTCTCGGATCTTTAATCACGATGAAGTTCCTCAATTTGTTAACTTTGGTGTTAATGGTTCAGCAAGCGGTCTAGTATATGGTAGTCGTGGTGAAAGATGTTAAAAAATAATTCGGCAAAATCGTGAATGCGTTACAATAAATCCAATGGTGTCGTTATCAGGTAAACTATACCAAAACACATTTTAAACTTTACTTTTAACAAATTAATACATATTTATTATTTTTTGTATTCTATATAACACCCTGATTTACTATAAGCGCTTATTAGTAAGAGTGGATTTTATAAAAGTTAATAAATTTGAAAATTTAAGACAACACGTGTATTTTATTACTAAAAACTTTACGTTTTCTATGCTTATTTTATTATTTAGAGGAAAAATGCATCTTCCATGTAATATTTGGTACTCAAGGAATTACTAGTCAGATGGCTCCGATGAGTGCTGTTAAAAATATTCCTAACTTATTAGTTTTAACAACCGAGAATGGATCACAAGATCACAAATCCTTCCTTATGTTAAAGCCGATGTCGGGCCGAGCTTGGCTGCCGTTATCGGACCGACGGCGTTTTTGTCAATACGGACCGACATCGGCTAGCCGCTCAAACTGTCGCGATGGATCGGTTGGCCGATATTAAGCCGACGCGATTCCAAATGAACAAAATTGTCGACAATGGCGGTCCAATGTCGACAGCCGAGCTAGGCCCGATGATTAAAATAAGCTACAAATGCTCGGCTAGCCGATGCAAATCTTAACACACTATTTTAAATCGAAAAAAAGGGAAAATAGGATTAAGCAACTAAAGTATACGTAAAACACAAATATAAAATAAAATTATATATTTCTTTTAAATAAATTATTCTAAATCAGTTGAACCATCAAATAAATTGAATCGGGTGAAATTCTAACGTTTTTTATTAACCGAGGAATTATTGTGTGCAGCATCTAAAAAAAAAAATATAAATTTAATTTTCACATATCAATAATAGAAATATAACATAAATCACAACATAGATAGGTTACTGACTAGGTATACATATTAATGTATCCATACTAATTGGAAGTGTATAGACTTCCAGAGAGTAACCAAATTTTAACTTTTAATTTCAGAGAACGAAAAAAACTAATTTATATTTATAATATGAAAAGTATTATATTTCTAAAGGCGAGTTTCCACTCAACCGTTTTTTCACGGGAACGGGAAAGGGACGGGAAAAATAATCACGTGGGCATGCGTAGAATAACTTTTAATATGTCTAAAGGAAAACTACGCATGCTCACGTGATTATTTTTCCCGTCCCTTTCCCGTTCCCGTTAAAAAACGGTTGGCCTTAATTCAATAAAAAGTTACTTGGGCATTTTGAATCAGGATGTGCACCGCCAAAATCATTTGCATCTTTTGCATTGTTTATTTCGTTGCATTCAACAGCCCCTATAAAAATTAACATGTTATATAAAACACGCTGGAGCTTGGGCCATATTATATACATACATATATATATATATATATATATATATATATATATATATATATATATATACATATACATATATATATATATATATATATATATATATATATATATATATATATATATATACATATACATATATATATATATATATATATATATATATATATATATATATATATATATATATATATATATATATACATATACATATATATATATATATATATATATATATATATATATATATATATATATATATATATATATATATATATATACATATATATATATATATATATATATATATATATATATATATATATATATATATATATATATATATATAATACTAATATTAATAATAATAAACTTACTCAGGTTTTTAGAATCAAGATATGCATTACCAAAATCTACAGCCCCTGAAAATTATATATCAATAAAAATATGAATATAATATAGATAATATTGGCATAGCAACAGTATAACACCTCCATTTTAGAAGTTTTCCTTCAGAGAGCACTGTGTTAAAAATAGATTCTTGCAAAAAAAAAATTATCACCACAACAGGTTATATTTTATAAATAAATAAAGAAGTAACAGAATATATTTTGATATATGATACAAATTTATTTTGATTGAAACTTATGTCACCAGTAAATAAAACTATTTCTACCTTAGCTTGTGTTAAAATGAACTTTTCACATTAACATAATCAAACAATAAACTATTAACAAGGAGACATATCTGAAGGAGTTCATCTGTTAATAGTTAAAAGCACTACTTCATTGATTGGCAATGAATCCAAAAATAGTAACACTAAAGAAATGAAAAAATAAAATCATATAATAAAAAGGAGATATATAAAAATATTAAAAAAAAAATACATGTATAAATTGAGGTTGCATTCCAAATAAATCAAATCCTAACTAAGAAAAACTTAACTACTAATAGACCTGAAAAAACCTTTAAAGATTGTTAAAAAAATCAATTCCATAATTCATAAGTTGACTTTGATTTTTTCGACATCTATTTCTTTATCTAAAAAATTATAATTGAACTTATTAATAGACACAAATTTCTTTTAATTTTTCTTATAATAAAACACAAATCTCTTACATAATTAAGTAAAAAAATTAAATCTCTTTTATAATTAATTATACTAAAAAAATTGAAGAAAATAAAGAAAAGAAAGAAAAAGAAATGTTAGAAAATACACCATCTCTTGGTAATTTAGAACATGGTCATCATGTATTGAATTTTAAATATAGTTTAATGGATAAAGTTACCAATAACAAAGACTATCAAACAAAATATCTGTTCGAAAAAAGTAAATATAAAGAGTTAAATAAATACTTTAATAATTATAACTGCAAAAAAGAGTTTAATACCTTAAGTGTTGATGAAAGCTATTTAAGATAGTTAAAACAACCAAAACATTAGAAAAATAAAATCATTATGGTTGGCTAAAGACCTAAAATTAGAGTTAAAAAGGAACTTATGGTAAAAAATCAAAGCTGCAGGTTTTAAAAATATAGATGATGTTATAAAATACAACAATCTTAATAAGATATTAAAAAAATATATTAAAAAAGCAATTATGGAGTAGGAACATAATTTAGTAAAACAATCAAAATCAAATACTAAATGTATATACTCATATAAACTGTAACACCAAAATAAAAAACACTTTTAGAGCCATAAGAGATACAAATGGTGATGTTACAACAGATGATAAAACAATATGCAATACATTAAAAATATTATTCAGTTCAGTATTCAATTGAAAACAGCAATAATATTTCACTATTTGAAAAAAAAAAAACTTTTTAAGTTGTCCATATCCAAAATTGGACAAATTATAATTAAAACAAAACTCATTAAAAACAAATTAAACACAAATAAAACAACAGGTGTTGATAAAGTACATCCAAGAGTGTTGAAGGAATGCTCACAAAGTTTATGAAAACCATTAATGTTTAATCAATCATTCGAAAGTGAAACTCTACCAAACTTATGGTTACATGCAAATATAACACCATTGCATAAGAAAGGTGACAGACTTGAATCAGCTAACTACAGACCAATTTCATTAACATTGATTGTATGCAAAGTTATGGAAAGTATTGTCAGAGATGAAATAATGAAATATCTTAACAATAGTAATTTAATCTGAGCACAACAACATGGTTTTGTAAATAAAAAAAATTGTTGTACAAATTTACAAGAAAGATTAGATATTCTCAGTAAAGCATTTGACAATAATATTCTAGTTGAAATTATATTTCTAGATTTTGCTAAAGCTTTCAATACTGTGCCACATGAAAGACTGTGCATAAAATTAGCTGGTTATGATATTATTGGTGATCTGTTGAACTGGTGCAAAGCTTTTCTAAACAATCGGTTACAATGAGTTGTACTTGGGGAAAATATTTCTGAATGGACAAATGTTATAAGTGTTGTTCCTCAGTGATCAGTACTTGGACCATTATTATTTATTTTATATATAAATGATATGATGTTAAATATAAAAAACGAATGTAAACTGTATGCAGATGATACAAAGTTAATATCTATACTAGATCATAACAACCGTACAGAAAATTTACAAGAAGATTTAAATAAAATTGTACAATGAACAAATAATTAGTTGATAGAATTTAATTATGGCACCTGCAAGGTTATGTATATGGGGAAAAATAATTCTAAAAAATGAGTACCTGATGCTTAACAATTCCAAAAATAAAACATATGCCACTAAACTAATAAAAACAACTTTAGAAAAAGCTCTTGGCATATATGTATTAAATGACCTTAACTGGAATTACCACATTAACTATACAGTCAATAAAGTTTACCAAAAATTAAGCCTAATAAAACACTCTTTTAAATATTTAGATAAAAAAAAAATAAGATTACTATTTACTTCATTAGTCAGACCTCATCTTGAATATTGATCACCATTATGAAACCCACATCTACAAAAGCATGTCAATACGAGCAACTCGTATCCACAGTTTAAAAGGTTTACTATACAAAAATAGATTAAACAAAATTAATCTTTCAACATTAAAAAATAGAAGGTCGAAAGCCGATATAGTGCAACTATACAGTTTTATGAATAATTTAGATGTAATTAATTGGTACAATCCTCCTATTCTTGCGGCGAAAAAACCACGTGATCATTGCGTAATTAAAAACAAAAATATCTACCATTATGATATGGGGGCAAACAAACGCGCTGATTTCAGTACATCATTACTTAAACGCCTTGAAAATGTCTTATGATTATCAAGAAAAGTTATCTAAAAAAGCTGCTGAACGTTACCAGAACAATATTTAGCGTTATATTGAAATAAATCTGTACAAATGCTTAAAGGAATCATGGAATTCAATTAATTCATCGTTTTGAAGTTATTGCACAGTTTACAGATGTAGTCAATAAATAAAACAAAAATATTACATATTGATATTCTAATAACATTTAAAAATTCTATATTTTGCTTAAAATTTTCCTCAGTGTAATATTTATTCCTCATGTTTTTAATATATGTGAAATAAATGTTATAAATAAAAAATATTTTTTACAGTATAATAATGAAATGATCAAAATTACTAATTACAACAACTTGAATTATAACATCGTAACAATATTTATAAAGTTTTTTAGTAAATAGTATGAGGATTAACAATATTATGTCTTGGCTTTTAAAAAATAACATAAATGACTTTTTATTTTCATTTACGAAGGTACTCTCTAAAACCAGTGACAACAGCAGAAACTCTACTAAAGAAAATAGAACCAATTTATGCTGAAAGCATTTACAAATTAATGATTTATGTATCATGTTAACATGAAAAATAAAAATTTAATTAAAAATACAACTAAATAAATAGTAAAGAAGAAACTTACTTTGCAAGATTGTTTTTGTGACCTAGGAACAATCCTAAAGATTAAAAATGACAACATTAAAAGTATGTTTTACTTTAAAACATGTTTCTTGCCTATTAGTAAATGATTAGAAGTAACGAGTTTAAGTAGGTACGTAGAAATACGCGTTTTACGGTACCGAGTTTTGTACCAAAAAACTGTTCTCCGTTTTTCGACTAAAAATTTTAGACAGCATGGTATGGTGGTGTTTTGTCGCCTTATTTTTTAGAATTTTATATCAACATAGATATTTTTTAAAATCTAGAGTAATTAAACTTTATTTCTATATGTCTTTTTATTACAATGACAAACTTTATAATTGAGTTTATTTACATTCAAAACTTGGTAATACTTTAGACGTTTAGTAAACCTTGAAAAAATGCATAGTAAATTTTCCTACCTATTCTCATTTTTAAGTTTACACATTTTTTATGCACCTGCCAAATTTCATTGCTTAATTTTAATTAGCACAATCCTTATTTTAACCAGCACTTTTGGTACCTAATTTTTCTCTTTTAACAGTTAAACGGTGGGCGGATGAGGGGGATTGCGTTAACAATATTTAGCAATATAATCTAAATAACTGTTCAATTTCATCTGATTTAGATTTAGTTTAAATAATAATGAGTTATCCATTCATTGTTGATCAAAGAGTACAGCGTAAAGGTTTAATTAATATATTTTTATAAACAATTTTTTTTATAATATAAAAAAAATATATTATTCTTATCACTTAATTATATAAAATTTAGTAATAAAAAATTACTTAATCATAAAAAATTTATTTTTTAGATAATGAAGCACTTCGTAAAATTAGTCAGTATATTATATCAGGAATTATTTGTCATTTTGTATTGTTAAAAAAAGATTTTAGTTAGTTGGTTTGTAGATCTACATAATGTAACTCATTCTTAAGACTTTATGATGTCTGTTATAAGTTATGACACATCTGAATCAGATGTGTCATAACTTATAACAGACATCATATTCTGATGTTATCATGCCTGTGCTGTAACCACAAGTTTAAAAGTGTTGTTATGATAATTCAAAAAATGAAAATAAAAAAGGTCAAAACCTAAGTGCCTTTATGTGCCATTATGTAGAACTTCATCTTTACCTAATCAAAAAACATATTCAAAAACTGTCATTATAAACGATTATTAAAATATTTTAATGTACTGATAATTAATTTCTTTTAGTTTGTATTGTTTTTATTTACTGTAGATCATTCAGAAAAAAGATTGGATCGAATGGGTAAGTAAAGTTTTACTATAATATAGTAAAACTTTACTTAATTTATATAGTCTATTAAATTTATGTCAAAAAGTATTTACCTATATCCCTCGTCCTTAAAACTTTGTTTTATTACACAGAACTTTATCTTGATCTAACTTAAAAACTTCACTTTAAAAGTGTCTCTCTAAAACATTGTTATAATGTAATGATAATTTTTTTTAACTTGAATTATTTTTATTACCTCTAGATCAGTTAGAAAAAAAATTGGCTCGATCGGGTGAAAAAAGTTTTAATTTATAACTTTGAAGATGTTTCTATGTTTGCTTTAATTACGTTTAACCGCAATACTTTTACTTTTTAGATATATTGAAGGAAAAAAAAAAAACTTTAATTAGTAAGTAAGCTTAATATTAATGGTTTCTTGTGTAATTTTTATCATCATGTGATTTGTTTCATTATTTGCTCTAACGGATTTAAAAATTAAATATTGATTATTTTATTATTATACTTTTATCAATAGTGAGGCCTTCTTATTCCAGTAAAAGTATGTTTATGTTATTTGTTATTTGCTTCTGTAGTTTTAATCTTGTTACTGTATATGGGGCTTAATTGCTTTTGTAAACCTATAGTAGTTGTAAAAATTAAAATTTTTACCTTTACATAATTCTTAGTAAATGTTTTTTAAAAATATGTATTGCTAGTTTGTTTTAGGTTTAACATACAGCGACTACAAAAAGTACAGGTCCAGGCACCCTGGGCCTTACTCTAATAAATCCTTTAAGAGTTGGGTCAGGTGTGGGGGCAAGACAGTTCATCTTTTAAGTGGTCTGTTAAATCTCCATACAAGGGTGCTTGGAACCGAAATAAAAAAGATGATTGCAAAAGAGGTTACTGGAACCATCCTAGAAGTTCGGAAAGAAATATAAGAAAAGAAAGTAGGTGTAAGGGTTGTATGTGTGGTAGTAGCAAAGGAGTCAATAGTGATGGTAGAGGCGTTGGAGTTGCAAACTTTTACATCAACAATTAAAAAATTAAAGTTTGCAACTGGACGTTTATTCAAATAAAACAAATCCATATGATTAAAATGTTTTTTTTGTAATATTTTTACCCTAATTTGTAATGTTAAATAATGATTAGTTATTATAGTTCCTAATAATATAGCAGAACATAAAGTAACTTACAAAGTACGTCAATATTTGAATTTCCAAGAATGTTTCACTCAGTAAAAGTGCTTAGTACAATGGAGGTATTTTTATATTAATTTTTGAAAAATGATTACCTTTTTTTAGACCTACCATTTATTAGATATGGAAGGAAATTGTCACCTGTCCATTTATTCCCACCCACCCTTGTTTTACTAATCTAATATGTAATGTAACAACCAGTTGGGGCTTTAGCTATATTTACTTGTAAGAAATTTAATTGTTTACTTTTAAAAAAAAATTATCTAATATAATTTTACATTTTTTTTGATATTTAAATAAAGTTAACATTTCCTTTATGTATTAAAACCTGTGAAAAAAATAAGGATTAAATTGTATTAGATTTTTGATTTTGATTTCATACATTGGTATATTTTGTATATTTTTACATAGTGCAAAAGAAAATTCGTAATATATATTTTATTTTGTTGTACAATTTAAAAAAAGTTTATATATTTATGTTTAGATTTTATTAAAAATTATTAAAGAAGTTAACATAGTTCTGTGCTATATAGAAAGTGTTTATAGTTCAAATTTTGAACCCAACTGTTGTGCATATACCAAAAGTATTCAGTATTTAAAACTTTTATTGTACTATTACCTCATTTTTATATTTTTTTATATTTATGTAGTTATCCTATATATAACTTTATAATTTTAAAGTTATCATGCCTCCCAAGACAAAAATGATGCTTATTGGCAATTTAAAAAAATATATAATCGCTAACTTTACATTGGCTACCGAAACGAGCATTGATTGTAGAAATGGGCATATACTCTTTATATTTATTAACAATGGAGAGTTATTTACTAAAACTGTTACAAAAGTTTATGAGTGTTTTAGCATTAACACTTGCAAAAATGAAATCCAAAATCTTGTTAGTGTATTTAAAAAATGGTCCTACAACTTTTCAAGAAATGCCACAGATATAGCTGAGTTTTGCAACAAGCCATTTGTGTTTCATGCACCGGTGCTGACAATTTCACAGTCATTGCCACTTACCTCTAGTCCAATTGATACTGTTTCTTGTTCTTCAATCTCATCATCAGAAAATATCAGTTTTATATCTCCAGTAAGTAGTGCAAAGCTAACTCCCACAAACAATAGCAAAAACAAACAAAATCTGTATAATTTACGAGAAAAAATGACTCCTACAAATAAAAAGTTACAGAGTCGGTTATTATATTTGTCATCACAATTAGCTAACTCTTCTAAAGAACAACGTTACCAGATAGCATTATTGAAATCTAAATTGAACAACATGCCCTACAAAATAAAAGTTTTAAGACAAAGCGTTAAAAGAAAAGAAGAAATTATAAAAGCTTTAAGAGCTGAAGTTAGAAATTTGAAAGAAAAATTTAAATCATGTTACTACAATAGGCGTATTCGAAATCTTGTAATGAAAAAAAAGGAAATGAAAATTGAAGCTAGAGAACAGCTAAGACAAGTAATGCTCAAACATAATACTGTTAGTAGAGAAAATAAAATGGAAATTGCTAGATTAGAAAATGATATGACCCAAATAGAGGAGGTTGATCGTATTGCTTCAGTTACTTTAGGAGATAATAAAGCTTACTCAATACAAACTAGAATGATAATCTATAGCATGTTATTGTGTAATGTTCCAACAGGTAACATTCCAATTCTATTGAAAAAAATTGCACAATATTTTGGTGTTGGTTTGTTGCATATTCCCCAGCGTATCACTGTTGAGCAAATGGCTCGTGAGCTTGGTTGTATATCTGACATGCAAGCAGCAGAGTGGGCCATCTCCAATACAAATCTTACTCTTGGGTTTGACGCCACCACGCAGGAAGGTGTTCATATTAATAGTGTCCACTTAACGTCAAAAAGTAAATGTCAGGTCATTGCTTTAGACCAATTGCCTGGAGGGACGTCTGATGATTATGAAAAACATATAGGTAATGCAGTGGATAATATGGCTTCAATTTATTCCAATTTTCATATGCTCTCCTATGATGATTGTCGAAGTTTGATTATTTCAAATATATCAAACACAATGTCAGACAGAGTTGCAGCCAACCACCTTACTATAAGCAAACTTTGTGACAAATGGGGAAAAACTCTAAATGAACTAAACTGCCATTTGCACCCTCTTGACACAATTGCTACTGAATGTCGATTAGCATTAAAGTCTCTAGAAAATGAATATTGTGATTTATTTGGATATGATTGTATGGCAGTTAAAATTGTTTTGGCTATGAACAAAATGAGGTTTAAAGATGTCAAAGGCGATCCAAAAGGATTTGTTGATTTTTTAGACAATAACAAACTAAATAGGGGTATCATTCCAAGATATAGAGGAAACCGTCTCCACATTCTTTTCCATACTTGTTATATTTTTATTAAACACTATAATGATTTTTTATGTTTTTTGACCTCTGGAACAGTAAAATGTGGTACTTTACAAACAGTTCTGCGTGCAGCATTTTGTAACACAACTGCTATAAAACAAATGTGTGTTCTTGGTTTATTTGGAAAACTTCTCACTGGGCCATGGATGACTAATTTTTATGTATCAGCTGAAGATGCAAACTTTGATCATGTCATTGGTATCCAGGTAGTTAAAGATGTTTTGGAAACAATAAGCGATTGCAAATCCAATCCAGCTGAATTGTTTAGCAAAACAACTGATTTTTTTGAGAAAAAGCTTTCCCCAAAGATTTTAGAACCAATTACAACTCTATGCGCTATTGATGATCAGCTTATCAAGATGACTTTTGCCTGTCTTAAGGCAGTGGAGGATGTCTTGATTCGACAATATGAAAGATACTTTTCCATTTCTATTACATCTAAATTTATGGAGAAGACAGCTAGTGCAAGGCTTCACAACATAGATAGTGAAGAGTTGATGGGTATGTTTAGTGAAGCTAAAGGGAGATCCCCTAATGCAACTATTTGTTATATATCTTGCAAATTGCGATCTAAAAAGAATATGACTATGGATTATCTTGATAGTCTTGACCAAATAGAGAGAGAAAATGTAGTTAAGTGGTCTATTAAAGCAGCTCGTATAAAAAGAATAACAAATCGACTGAATTATACTGCATTAAGAGCAGAGATTTCAAAAAGACAGACATGCAAAAGGCAAAAAATGGATGAAAAAGAAAAAAGGAAGTTGGAACGAGAGCTGAGTTTGCTATCTTTTAATGAAATAAAGAATTTATACGAGCACTTGTCTACTAAGCAACTTGATGACTTATATGATTTAATGTATGAAAGAATTGTTGGAAGAGAACTCTGTCATGAATGGTTTGATTCAGATAATAGCAAGTCTGTCATTTATGATGGGATAGTAGAAAAAGTCAATAAAAGAAAAGATAACAGAATTTATACTATTTCCTATGATGAAACTGATTCAGAAGCTGTTGACCATTGCATGAAAAAATTCCAACTTGCTGCTGATATTGTATCAGGAGAGTTGATATTTTCTTAATTCAATATGCTTTAATGTTATTTAATGTTATTGTGCTTTAATGTTACTGTCTAATAGAAAAAGTAGTATTGCATGGCAATAGAGTATAGAAAAACGGATACTTTGTTGCATCCAATGTGGTGAGATATTTCTTTTAAATTGTTTTTGTTGTTTTAAATAGCATTTTTTTTTCTTTTCATAATTTCAATTTTTTCCTTTTGTTTTGAAAAAATTTTATGTTTTTTTTGGATTACTAGGGAGAGAGGGGGTGGTCCAAATTTTTTCACTGATTTGAAATGTAGGCCACTAGTGTATGTTATAAAGTAGTAAAATATAATTTTTATTTTCAATACTAGGTAACTATGACGATGAAAAACAGATACAGCAAGTGGTGTGATTTGCAATAAAGTACCGCAAGTGGTATGGCTTGCAATAATATACCGCAAGTGGTGTGACTTGCATAATAGTTATGGCAAGTGGTGTGACTTGCCGAAAGGAAACTGCAAGTGGTGTGACTTGCCAAAAAAATACCGCAGGTGGTGTGACTTGCAAATATGGTAATGCAAGTGGTGTGACTTGCAAAATAGGTACCACAAGTCGTGTGACTTACAGAAAAGGTACTGTAAATGGCGTGATTTGCAATTTTTTTGATAGACGGCTCTGGCTTACGTTCACGTCGTGTCTATTGTTAAAAATGATTATTATTTAGTTTCATTGATGAAACTTAAAATTTTAATCATTCACTAAAAGCCAAGACGCAAGTAAGTATTTGTTGAAATTTAAAGTATTTTTATTTTTAAATATCTAATTTAGGTGGAAGGGAGGTATTCGAACGCTGATTTACAAAAAGGCAACATCTTATAATGTGGTAAAATGATGCATCTTGTAATGTGGTAAAATATGTTTTTATAACAGTTTTTATTATTTTATATAATAGCATTTAAATTTTTCTAAATCGCATTATAAAAATGTAATTTTTAATTTAGGTTGGAAGGCGTTGTAGCACACACCCTTCCCTTGATTCTAAATGTGCGCTACTAGTGTGAAGACGAGAAATTTTTGTTATTATTTAAAAAAAAGTTTTTGTAATTATAATTAGATTTACTTTTTTTTAATAAAGATAAAAATGTTTTTTTAGTTATAGGGTGTGTTAAACTGACACCCTTACACCCACCATAACACAAAAATAAACTTCTCTTACTTGGCAATGGTCTAAAGCAAATTATAACTACTTCTTGCATATGAAAATTAAAAATTTCCATAAAAAAATTATTTTTTTATTTATGAAAATTTGCATTTATTACCGGGTAAGCTGTTGGTTCGGTGCCCCCTCTAGCCCCCCGATACGCCCTATGGCTAGCGACCAATAAAAATTTGTAGCCTATTCTAACACCTATCTTTTGATACCAAGTTATAGACATTTAGATAAGAATTGACAAATTTATTATGTTTTTAGTCAAGAAAAATATTATTTTGACCACAGTTTCTTCAACAAATCCATATATCAAAAAATCGGTACATAAAATGTTATAACTTTTCGTCAAATTGCTCGATTTTGATAATTTTTTCACTTTTAGAATACTGTAATGAAGCTCTTTAAAATGATATATAACAATCTAATGTTTAATTAATTTAAAATTTTCATGCTACGTACCTAGTTTAAGTAAAAAAATCTAATAATCATTTGTAGCAGGAGGGTAATTCCATGTCAATTGAGCCAGAAAATTTCAAAAATGTCACCATACATCTCAGATTTTGCTGATTTTTATACAGTTGAGAGTACTTAGTAAAACAAAAATTCCTTGAAAATTTTAGCTTCTAGCTCCGAGAGGATCATGAAATATGATCATTTTACTTTTAACTGATCTTGGCCAGGCCCCTCTTGTCCCCTCAGAAGTGTGACCTTTGTTTAAAGGTTCCAAGTCACATAGCTTTAAAAATATTTGATCTTTTAACTTAAAAACTTGTACCTGGCTTTTTTCAGGGTCGAAGAATCCAATGAAATAATCAGAAATGTAAAAAAAAAATTTAAGTACTTGTAATTATCAATTTAAATAAATTTAGGCAATTTTTTATATACCTGGTTTTGATGCTCAAGAAAGCCATGTGGCCTTGATGATATAAAAAAAAAAATTGTACACATTATTCTATGTTTAATGATCTTTCAGAAAACATAAAAATTTTGATCTGCAAGTATATGGATTTCCATATATGGTTAACGGGGCACAGGCCCCACTATTTTGTAGCAGAATCTTGCCATACATTTTTCACTACCTTTCAGACTAGCTGGAACGATGAAAATTTTGGTATTTATGTAGTGTCAATAAATGTGCATTTTAAAATTAAAAAAGGGCCCAAGACTCTAGGGGAGGGGGCTGGGGGGATGTGCCCCACTTTTTTGACCGGAATCTTGAGATGGATTTTTCAGTATCTTCCAGACAAGCGTGAGCTTTGAAACTTTCAGCATTTGTGTAGTCCTGATGAACATGCTTTAAAATAGTTTCAGGTCAGACGACTAGAAGGTCCATGGGGCTGGGGCACCAGGGACCATTCCCCACTTATTTTCTCAAAAAAAAAAATTTTTTTTTTTGTCTTAAATTTAAAATAACTTTGAAAATATTGTATTTAAATATTTTATTGCTTTATGCTTGTTCCATTTTACTTCATTATTTACAAAATAAAATACAAAAAAATGAAATTGTCAAGATAATGCTAAGATTAGCTTAGATGCATTGACGGTCAAAGTATACAAACGTCCATTTGTTGTTCAAAAACAGGTGCATCAATTATACAAGTTATGTTGGTAATTGGAACCCAACATCTACTCTAGATGGCCAGAAAAGTTTATTAAAAGGACCGTGCGGGTGCATAAATGTTACCATAACATCTTGCTCTATATTATCAACTTCATTGATTCAATATCTGATCATTTATGGGCCTTTGTAGACTTGCATTTGTAGTTAATCGTTTTACAATGCCACCAATACCATCACATGATGACTTACCATGATTTGTAGCAAAAAATGTCCACTCTGCATCAATGTCAAAATCATTCTTATGGAGACAGATATTGTAAAGGTTTTTGTGGTTTTTATACTGTGCAGCACAACCATCAGAAAAATAAAGAATCTTTGAAATTTTAGGATGATATTCTTTTAAATAGTTAACTATTTGTGTTTGAACTTCATACACAAAACCAGTGTCATGCTCATTATCTTCTGACATGAAACAAAACGATTTTTCTTCAAGTTGGTCATTTTCGTTTAATAAATAGAAGGCAACAGGGTGCAATGTGCATTGACTTTTGCACCAATGGTAACTTTGGATTTCATCTTGAATCACAAAAGTGAAGTTTTCTGCAAAGTCAACTAAGACAATACAGCAGTTTTTTGCTAAATTTTCCTTTTGTTGCTTTAGGTATCTTTGACATTTTGATTGACATTTTGCAATGTAGGAATGAGCTGTTAACTTGTTTATTGCCTCTGATAACATCAATTTGTATTCTTCAATAGTTGTTGTCTGATAGATCAATGTTGTTCTGTCTGTTTTCTGCCACTGATTGAATGACACCTCCTTGTCATTGTCATTATCAATTAGTTGTGCATCCAGAAACTTCTTTAAAGAAACCATACGTGGACAGTTCGGACATCGATGAACCATGCACTCGTTACTTGTCACAAACAACTTTTGTCATCATATCTTTGTAAGTACATTTCATTTGTATAGCATTGGTCAAGAGTATTGCATTATGATGGAGGGTACATACACAAACAGAATGAGTGCCTTTTGCACTCATTCTGTTTGTGTTGTTTTCTACCAATACTTACGTAATCTTTTTTACCAGGCATTTGTCTAGTAAATTCTTCATCATGGTATATATTGTTGACTCTATTTAATGTTATTTCTGAAAATATTTTTTCTTTCTTAGTGCCTGGAACTGAAAAAATCCCACTCATTTTCTTTAGTTTGCGCGCTTCTTTAATTTGGTATATAGTGACGTTGAAATATCTTGCAGCAAAATTTCTTGACCAAGACTCGGGTGTAAATGTTAATAACTGAATTTTATTTTTTTGGTCAGAAACAATTAACTTTTCTTTTATTTCTGCTGTTAGTTTGTCTAAATCATCACATTTACTTTTGTCAATAATTTTCATTATTCAAAAAAGATTTTACAATAATTTTTTATCAACAATATTTACCTTTGATTGCTTTTTTTTTTGATTTATGCTTGTCCAATAAATTGCAACATTTTGTGTGCTTCTTTTCAAAGTGTGTATCAAAAATCTTTTCATGATGAAGGCAGATTTTTAAATTTTATCATCTGTTATTCCAGATCTCCAAATAAATTCTTCTCTGGCATCTTCTCTATAGCAATCAAATTTCTTTAAATCAATCTTTCTACAATAACTTAGTTTATGACAAGTATCATTTAATTTTTTTCCAAAATCACATGAATCCATTCTTACTGTAACACTAAAAACATTTTGATATTAGTTTAAAAATGAGAAACTAATAGTAATTAATTCAATGAAAGCAACTTAAGCAATCACCATGGTAATACAAAACTAAATAGTGATTGATTTCTTTTATCTTACTTTGACAAAAAAAAAGTTTCCTTTTCACAAAGTTTAATTATAATCAATTTGTTAATGTTAAAAATGTTAATGATGACTTTAATAGGTAACAAATTTCTTCTATACTAGTGTAATGACAGGATGTTTTTTGTTACTGTAAATAGTTCTTATTTAATAAAATAACTTGCTGTTAACATTTTAGAATTAGCAAATATCAAATAAAATAATGATTTTGAAAAATTGATAAATTTCTTTTTTATTGATATAATGTTATGACAGGATGTTTTTTTCTGTTGAAAGTTAATTAAACAACTTGCTGTTACCATTTTAGCATTAAAATATATTAATCTTTTTTAAATTATACAAAATAAAATTATGGTAAAACCATTATTTTAGACTGTTTTTAATCTTATACATGCAAATCAAAATTCTTATAAACATTAACTTTCTTAAAACATTTTAAGAAAGATCATTGAACATAGAATGATCAAAAACCAAATTGAATAAATATAAATCACAAAAATTTGTGGAAGCAATGTTACCAAAGATATGTTTAACATTGTTAAAAATAAAAATCTAAAAAAAAATTTTGAAGACAATAGTTTCATGTGTTAAAATGTGTTTAAAAAAAAAAAAATTTTTTTTTGAGAAAATAAGTGGGGCATGGTCCCTGGTGCCCCAGCCCCATGGACCTTCTAGTCGTCTGACCTGAAACTATTTTAAAGCATGTTCATCAGGACTACACAAATGCTGAAAGTTTCAAAGCTCGCGCTTGTCTGGAAGATACTGAAAAATCCATCTCAAGATTCCGGTCAAAAAAGTGAGGCACATCCCCCAGCCCCCTCCCCTAGTGTCTTGGGCCCTTTTTTAATTTTAAAATGCACATTTATTGACACTACATAAATACCAAAATTTTCATCGTTCCAGCTAGTCTGAAAGGTAGTGAAAAATGTATGGCAAGATTCTGCTACAAAATAGTGGGGCCTGTGCCCCGTTAACCATATATGGAAATCCATATACTTGCAGATCAAAATTTTTATGTTTTCTGAAAGATCATTAAACATAGAATAATGTGTACAATTTTTTTTTTTTATATCATCAAGGCCACATGGCTTTCTTGAGCATCAAAACCAGGTATATAAAAAATTGCCTAAATTTATTTAAATTGATAATTACAAGTACTTAATTTTTTTTTTTTACATTTCTGATTATTTCATTGGATTCTTCGACCCTGAAAATAGCCAGGTACAAGTTTTTAAGTTAAAAGATCAAATATTTTTAAAGCTATGTGACTTGGAACCTTTAAACAAAGGTCACACTTCTGAGGGGACAAGAGGGGCCTGGCCAAGATCAGTTAAAAGTAAAATGATCATATTTCATGATCCTCTTGGAGCTAGAAGCTAAAATTTTCAAGGAATTTTTGTTTTACTAAGTACTCTCAACTGTATAAAAATCAGCAAAATCTGAGATGTATGGTGACATGGCCTGGCTCAATTGACATGGAATTACTCAGGAGGCACC